GCAAATGTATTACTGAGTTAGTGTGCAGTGTTACCACATTTGGGCATGACTCATCACAATGGAATGCAGGGCATCAACCAATAGGCATGCAGCTTTCCTCTATTCTCCTTGCTGATTGGCTGTTGGAATTTAACAGGCTTAACTTAATTAATACCTGCTCAGATCCATTCCATACTGACAGTATGTCTGTATTCAAGTGTTTTGGTAGGTATTTCAAGCTTTCCTGCTCCAGCATTGGAATGCGGGGCATGAACACTTCTTTTTTTCTTGAAAATCAACAGTTTGCATTATGCAATTAAAAATCCTAACCAATAATGTAGGGAATAGCTATCCAACTGTTGTAGTCTTAGTTGTATGTTACTTCATACTATAGTTATATCAATGTAAAGCATTGTTTTCCCTTGTGTTTCTCATTCTTTCCCTGCCATGTGGTAAAATGTGGTGAAGCCATTGCTGTATTTGCTCCAAAGCAAATGTCGGCCTTTCTAGTTCTGATTCAGTTCGCTACATAGTTGTAGAGTCGGCTGTTGGGTCGTGTGAGGATGCGTCTATTTATTATCTTCTATTTGAGGCATCGGTGGAGATAAGATTAGACAAGTAAAATCTGAGATTTTATACCTCCGGGCTTTTTATTGTATATTTTTCCATGTGTTTGTTCTGTATAGTTGATGGTGTTGAATTTTATGTGTTAGATTTAGCGTTCCTGGTTGTGTTAATACAGGACTGGTCAACATTTTCATCTGCAGCCCATACCATGTACCCACGGTAAAAATGCATGTCGAGAACGTCTGAGACAGTATACCACGGTATTTGTAAGTTAAGAAGTCGTACTATACGCCGAAAACATCCAAGATTGCGCAAGAGGGCGTTGACCCCTGACCCATTGGCCCACCCGGAAGTTGCGCTGGCAGCCAGCCCAGCGCCGCGCGCGACGATTTTCAGATTTTTACGCCCCAAAACACATATACAATAAAAACAAAAAAACCTGCACCATCTACAGCCCATTAGAAGAACATACACCGAGTCCAGTCTACCCCCAACGCGAGATACAACTGCGATAATATTTCAAAATACATATCGGAAGCAGACACCCCTCTGTTTGACCCCTTTTAAATGGTAAGACCCAAAACTGAAACCTCCCCATTCCTTAACAACATGGTAAATTCCATTTTCAGCATGGCGGGGGTGTCCGGAGCACTTAAAAACCTTTTATTTCGACGCCCATAAACACATATACAATTAAACAAAAACGTTCTGCATCATCTGCAGCCCAATAGCAATACGTACACCGAACAACAGACCAATCCGTCCAGCCGATCGCGAGAAACAGCTGCTGACAGAAATGTTTCGAACAATAGTA